AAACTAGAAAAGTGGACTCCCGAAAGACATTTGACGGATCTCGTCTTGAGCGAGCCCTTCGGGTTATTTATGAGGCCTGGTTTTAAAGTAGTGGCTGCCAGGGACGTTAAAAAAGAGCTCCCCCCAAGCTAGGAGAGGAAATACAGTCGCAAGAATGCTGTTTATGACGATATAAATCAACATGAGGCTTGTGATGGGGAATATGGAGAGGGCGAGTTTGGAATAGGAACAAGGAAACAAAGTCACGGAGGAAAAATGAATTTCATCCTCCCGGTTCTACCCTCCTCTGAGCCTGCACCTAAGGCACTGAGGGATGGGGAGAGGAGAGGGTAGACAGTACACGCGCCATTCTGGGTGGGGTCAGCGAGAGTCTTCCCCAAGTTTACAGGAGGATCATTAAAGGGCCAGGAAATACATGTAAATAAACAACTTGGAAGATTTATGGGAAAGACTTCAATTTTATAGGACCGTATTTATAGAGCTCCGCTGGCTCGGTTATAAATAGATTAATGGGAAGCTAAAATTAATGGACTTGTGAGCTGCACGTTTAATTTCTGAGTCTTCAACAAGACAGACAGCCATTGCCCAAAAAGGCAGCTAGAGAGTCTGGGAGCTGTATGGGCTTTCTGGAAAGAAGAAGACCCACAAGGGCTATCAACTGGCCTGGCGGTTCTACGCAGGGACTCAGCATCAGTTGTTTTCAAATAAAGAAAGGAAAAGCATCTCGATTTTCTAAACTTCTACCTTCAGCTTCTACCTTAATCAGGACCTTAAGCCGGTGGTGGGTTTCCGGGTGGGGATGGAAGTTTTGTGGCTGCTCTGGTGAGCTCCAGGCAGAGGGGAGAAGCAGTGACTCACTCCACCTCTGGTGCCACTTAAGATTCACTTGTAGTGTTGGTCAAAGTTGTAAAAGCTCTAGCTACAGCTCTTTTCCTTACTTCCTCTATGGTCTTGGACCACAGTGATGGTTTCATCTTCCAACCGCCCATCCGCCGCCCCACTCCTTCCCTCCCTCCCTCCCTCCCTCCCTCCCTCCATGTCTTTCCCCACAGTTATGGCCTCTATAGATCTGGAGTTTTGCTTATAAAGGTCATTGACTTCTTACCAAAAAGTGATTGGAGAGCCATGATGGTCCAGAGTTTACCTGTGCGATAATAGATTAGTTGTCTGTTTATCCAGGGCTGGTGTTCACCTGCTGTAGGAAAACTTGTCATAGGGTATGAAAATTGCCCACAACTCTCTTTATATAAGCCCAGTGCTAACCAAGCCCACCCTTTGTACAGCAAATGAAAAGGAAATCCAGTGTTAACACAACTGACCAGGAGAATAAGGCACAGTCACAAGGGTTTTTTTTTTCCAATCTTTATAGATCACACACACTCATAATGACACTTCCTGTAGCATTCCTGTTTTGTTTTGCTTTGTTCTCATCCTTACTTCTTCCCTTCTTTTATTTCTTTTTTAGTCCGTTGTTTACAGTTGTAGCCATGAAAACCCTCCTCCCTTTAAATTAATAAATACTACAAGAATTAGAAAGCGTCCCATAAAACAGATTGTACCATCTATTCTGTTTTTCTCTACAGGGAAATCCAAATGTACAAGACTGGTTCAGAAACTGGAAAACTTAACAAAAGGCATACTATTTATCATTCGAACACCAACTATCTGTTAAACACTCTTACGTAATCTGAGCTCAGGATGTACCATTTTTGGATGTATGCATTGGCTGCTGTTTCTGCTTTTATGGTTAAGCTAGACAATCACGGTGTAGGAAAGGACAGATAAAGCCTGCGATGTCAAAAGAGGCAGTGACTTGTGCAAACTGTAGAATATCTCGAATGACTTTGCTTTCCTGGCCTCCAGGAACATACCCCCCACCTTGGGACAAAATACAGATTGAGATGTTTAGTCGCTGAAGCTTATGGGGCTAAGCCAAAGTCCATTAACCCACGTGAGAAAAGCTGACTGCTTCCAGGCAGCCTCAGAACCCAAGATAAGAAATAGCCTCCTAAGCCATGTACAACTCAAGGTCTTCGAAGCCAAGTGAGCTTTTTCATCATTTATTTGCAAAAGCCCTTATAGTGATAAAGTGAGGAAGGGCTTCCATCCTGAAATTGACCACTCAACCCCATCAGAGCCCAGGTCTCCAAGTTCAGGAGCCAGCACCCAGTTTTACAGTGTGCATCAGCACCACCTGGGAACATCTAGTCCATTCAGCTTCCCACTGTAGTATCTTTGGCCTGGACTCACAATCTTTTAGAGACCCAGAGAGTAAATATAACACTCCTTCTCTTTTAAGGGTAAAATAAACAATAAGATGTAGTTAACATGAACTTTTATTACAAATATGATTGGGACTAGTATCCATTTGGAAATTTAAAAGTAAAGCACCTCCCACTGGAAACAAAAGTGTTCATTTTTTTCTGATAAGCATAATTTATTGTATTTCTGTTGTAACAAAAACACTGTATGTACTTTAGTGGGGGGAGCAACAGGAAGAAAGTTTTTTGCTCTATCTCTTTTCTGTCTGTAGAATGAAACAATATCCATGTTTAAGAAACTGAAGATGAGAACACAACAAAAACACAACAATCTTTTTATTTATGTAAATCAGATTAACACTGGACAATAAACCAATTTCTACCCAATACCATAACAGCTTGTCTATAAAGAACAGAAAAATTCAGATAGGAGTCTACCTAGGGTCAAGCGGTTTTTCTTTTTAACCACCCATTCACAGAGGTATAGATTCACAGATAAATAATCCCAAACTACTTGTTCATCATATTTACACATTCCCATTAAATTAAGCATAAATAAATATATACAACTTAACACGGATACCCTCCAGAGTGCTCTCAAGAAGAGGCCGTTGGTATTTCTTGACTGGGTGGTAAAAATAATGTTAGTGAATCAGAGACCAACTCAAAAGGGGAATCAATTTGACATTTAAAGAAGAAATGGTGTTCACTCCGTTTTTTCCTTAAAAAATGAATGAATTTCAATACTTCTCTTTTCTTTCACCAATAATTTAATATACTTCAGCAAAAGAGGGAAACGCCGTGGGAGCTCTTGAGGCAGTGTTGAATGGTTTAAGGTCATCATTTCCTTTCCACATAAAGTATTGCAAGGACAGGATATCAAATGACTCAACTCTAACTAGGGATGAGTCTTTTACCCAAGGAAGAAGTATGTAGATAAGTTAGGGGTTTGGGGTTTTCCATTCGACCAAAGTTTTCATAGGATATGAAATAATTGCTTAAGAGAAAGTGGTTTCCTTGGCCAATGAAAACAAACATCGGATCTTTGAAAGCCTCTTGGGCTCTTTATATGGGGGTGGAGAAAGCTAAGGATGAGGAGGTAGGGTAGACGGAAGAAAATGCAATATACGTCGGGGTAAGAGAGAGAAGAAAATTATTTCCTAGTTGGGGTGGAAGTTAACGGTCCCTGGAGATGGAATCCTCACCTGGAAACAAACTCCATGAAACACAGAATGCAAGTAGGAGAAGGCAGGATTCGCTAAGCAGGGCCTGGAAGAATCTCCAGGGAACTCCGCTGCAGGCTTACTCTACGGTCTTTAGCTATTTTGGTTTGGAACCCCAGGACTTAGTAGGGCATAAAACTTACAGAGTGCAGGGGAGAGGAGGGGACTGCAAGTCACCTGTTTGGTTTGAAAACAAAACTCAAAGGGTCTGGTCTTAAACGTTTTCCTTGACTTAAAAGGCAAACTCTTGTGTTAATCCTACTGTTTATTGATTTATAAGCCCAAGGAAACCAAATCTTTTAATAACTCAATTATCAGATAAACGTAGCTGGCTTGGCTAAGGAAAGCAAGGGGTTGGAGGTCCGATGTGAAAAAAGGAAGAAAAAAAAAAAGCAGAAACTGAGGACTCACCCCGGAGGCGAGGTGGGGTTTGTGGGGAGGGACAGCCGAGTTTATCTAGCTGCACCTTCCCGCTCTGCTCACACGGAGAGCTGGGCGCCTAAGAGAGCCTACCTACCCAAGTATGACAATTCTTATTTCATGTCCACACTTCAAGAGAGTGAGGGTGGAGACAATTTCCTTCCTGGCAGAAAGAACACGTGGAAGTTTCAGATTCCGTGGACTTTTCCAGGCCACAATGTCTCTGACTGCTAGCCGCCAAAGGACTTTACAGAGCTCTGGGACCCCTCCCCCCCCAGCAGCCAGTGGGGCACCGCCCCTTTACCTACTCGGGAACTGGCCTTTCTCAGTGGCCTTAGCCCTTAGGGTGAGACCGAGAGCAGGAAGGGCCCGTGCGGCTCGCGACCCCCAGCAGCTGCTTGATTCTATGTCCTCAACACCACTGGGCTCCAGTGGCCCCCATGTTCCCAGGACCTGCACAGTAAGAGCAAGGCGCATCCATCGCGTCTCTCGATGTCACACGCGTGGGGCGCGTTGCCCTGCAAGGAAAGGAGACGATGTTTTTCAGTGTGTTTTCTGCTGGCCTTGTGCAATCAGAATTCAACTAATGCAAGCGTCAGGCCCTGGGACAAAAGGGGAGGTTTCTAAACTGAGGAAAGATGCGAGTCTACAGTTCACACAACGTCTTTTTTCTGCACTTTGTACTCCTTTCGGCTTGGCTAGGGCTGGGTCCTGAAAATCCACAGGCCTCAGAAGCAGCTAGAGCTAGGAGATGGGAAGTTGCCTGACCTCAATTGTTGCTTACAACCTCCATTGACCTAAAACTCACTGTGAGATTTTCCTTTCCCTCAAATAAAACCCTCAAAGCAAAGCCCTCAGAGGGTCCCTAAAGCTTTAACACCCTTCTCTTGCTTTAAGGTGGACTGGGGAAAGATGGGGAAACTGAGGGTCCAGATCATTTAGGGTGGGGAGAGCTATCTGTAAATCACAGAAAGCATCTGAATTTTTATCCCAATGGATTTTGCAAAGATTCCACCTGGGTTGTTGAAAAGAAACAAGTGTAGCCACACTAAAAGAGTCTACTTATCTCATCAACCCAATACTCAGAGGATCTCACAGTTCTTGCTAAAGGAGCAGGGCTCTTAATTCATGGTAATGCTAAGATAGAGTAGGAGTAAAAAGTTGAGGTGAGAGAAGTGAGATGCCTCATCCACTGGGAATATTCCCAATATATCCAGACAGGAATTTAAAGCTGAAATACAAGCCCTTTCACTTTGCTTGGTGGTGGTGGTGGTGGTGGGTGGGTGGGTGGGTGGTTGTTAACCATTTTGTGCCAAAATAAGTCTATGTTCGAGAGGGGAAACTGCTTCGTTCATAAAGCTGTCTTCCCCAATTACATCGGCAAGGCTGCTTCTTTCTCCATTAGAACAACGATCCCCAAAGAGCCCAAGAAAATGCAATTCATTTTTCAGTGAAGACAACACTATTAGAATATAGGTTCCCAAGAAGCCTTACTCCCTTAAAAGGCATTTTTCAGTGCCCCACCCCTGCGGAAATCCCTGTGTTGAGGTGCTTAAGCAAGAAGATTCAAAGCTGCCCGCCCCCCACCCGCATACTGGCCACTTCCTAAACGATTCCCTTTGAGCTTCTTTAAAGAAGTGAACCTGCTGAATTCTGACACACAGGCTTTGACTTTAAAGGAATCGGATTTTTTTTTTCTCAGTACCTTATAGATTGTGTAGGAAGCCCAAGTCTTCTTTGAAGAAGCTCATAAACCATGCGGGTAAAGCTTTGGGAAACAGAAGAAAATGAAATGGTACATACCCCTCCGAAGGAATTACATACTAATCAAAGTATTCGTGTTTTGTTTTCTTTCTTTCTTTTTTTTTTTAAACTATACTTCTAGTTGACACAAGTATAACGAATATAATGTTCTCTGTGAACAGGTGCTGGCAAGTCTGGGAACTAGTAACATTTTCTGAAAGGAACCATGATGAATCAACTTATCGGCCTGGGTTTCCTCTGCCGCTCTCAAGACCAGATCAAACGCTAGAGCCTCTCCCCACCCCCTTCCCCCTCCACGCCTCCCTAATTAAACACACCGGGGGGAGTTGGGCACCGGGGAGTTGGGAACAAGGCGAGGTCTGGGTACCAAAGGGACAAACGCAACGCCAATGAACTAATCACACTGGGGATCACCCGGCAGATTCCCGGAACCGTGTGGGGAGGGGAGAAAGGGAAGCAGCGGAGAGAAGGGTGAGGAGAAATGGAGCGCGCGGACTGCGAGAGTTTCCTTTAAAAAAAAAAAAAATTAAATTTAAAAGTTCGTGCGTCTCAGTCAACCAGCTCTCAAAGCATTGACACCAACGTTTCTCCAATTTTCTTCCAATAAGTTAGCGTGTTCTCATGTTTCGTCTCATGTTTATTTTCCAAAAGGGGGTTTCATAGTTTTCTTTTATTATCTGTATTACTAAGCTCGAAAGAACCGAAGTGGAAAATCCGGACGGTTGTCTCCATGTGTATCTTGAAATAGACACCGAGAGCCGGTTTGCTGCTCCGTTGTATGCCTCAGTTTATTTTTTTTTTAAAGTTATTTAGCTTTCTTTTTTTTTAATTTTGATTGTATGTGTATTCTACCTAATATAATTCTTCCAAAGCCAATCCAATATGTTAAAGCTAAAATTATTTTTTTTTCTGTTTTCCTTTTGTATTTAAAACATTTTCCTTCTCTTTTAATTTTTTTTTTTTTTCATTTCCTGTGTTTCTCCTCCTTGTCGCCAGTTTTACTACCTGGGCCTTCCCCAGACGTGTGCCTGTTAGTGGTGTTGTTCAAGAACATCTTGTCCATGCCTTTGAGCGCCTCGGTGAGATAGTTCTGCAGGGCCGTGAGCGCAGCGCAAATGGCCGGGGCGCCGAAGCCGTGCGTGATGAGACTGAAATGCGTGAGGCAGCTTTGGATGCCGGGCTCCAGGATGGGGCTGGGCCGGCTGTTGCCGATCGGGGTCCGGTCCTGCGCCAGCAGATCCGTAAATTCTTTACAAAGTTGCCTGTGGGTGGTGAGGGAGGAAGAGAAAAGCGCCCTCAGAGTCCTGGTCGCTCGCCTTGGAACCCAGACGTACACACACAAGCCCAGAGGCGTTGGGTATCTGGACAGCGAGGCTAACTTGGGCGATTCTGCTGTGTCTTTTCCCCTAGAGCGCTCCCTCACCCAGCAGCTGGGTCTGGAAGGGACCTAGCGAGAGGAATGCACCACCTCCACCCCTCACGCCTTTCACTTTCCCTCTTCCTTCCCTGACCACCTGTATTATGCTTTAGGACATTCACTAGGCATTTTGGCTTTTGATTTTGAATAGCCAATAATTTTTAGCTGTTACCTGGCACATATTTTTCTTTAATTATTTCCCCTTCTCACCTTTCCAACATCTCTCTCTCTCTCTCTCTCTCTCTCTCTCTCTCTCTCTCTCTCTCTC